CCAAATTACTTGAATTAAGCAGGTATTAAAATTTTTCTACTATAAACAATGAAAAATATTTGTTATTTATTTTAATAAACATTTAAATGATAAAAAGCAATTACCTAATAATTATGAACCTTGATTATATTGAAGCTTGGTCCTGTTATATTACTTGAATCAAGCAATAAGAGATTTGTTAAGAACGTATTATGTTTCAATTTGTTGAGAACGTACTTACATCTTGATAAAATGTTGTGAACTTAAATAAATATAATTTTTTTTTATATTTAGATTAATTTTAAACAAAAAAGAGGATAAGCCTTAAAATGATAAAAATAATAATTAAAGAAGATTGAATGCTAACTATAATATAAGAAAGAAAAAAAAACCCTGATGAATTTAATATAAATAGTGTGTATGTTCATACTCATGTTTTGTATATTCAAGTAATCAAAAATAATAATAATTAAGTTTTTTATGAAATGGAACACAATGCAGAGGAATTATATGGTTTGAGCAACATAGAGGATATATTAACTGATGAAGATCAAGATGATTCAACTTTATTCAGCAGTATTATGTCTAATGATTCCATAAATCAAGTAAATTCGCATGTTATAGCATTATCTCCCATGTGGAATTTTTTTAAAAAAATGATAAAATTCTATATTGCTTAAAGTATAATGAACAATTTACAAAAAAATTTTCAACTTCTACATTACAAAGGCATTTAGAACAAAAGCACGGTATTAGAGTAGGCAACATCTATAAATTAAAATTACAATTTGATCAATTCTATCCATATAACCAAATAGATTAGAAAGAACGCGATTTTTGTTTATTAATATAGGTTGTTTGTCATCAACAACCATTTTCAGTAGGTACAAATGTATATTTTAAAAAATTGGTACATAAATTAGATCTACATTACAAGGTTTCCAGTTCATCAAAAATTAAGAATATGATTATGTCTGAGTTTGACTTGCGTCGAATACAACTTAAGAATGATTTAAACCAAATTCAAAGTAAAATAGCTTTTACTCTTGATTTATGGTCAAATATAAATAATGAAGCATTTATGGGTGTAACAATCCATTTTTTAAATATAGAGTGGAAATTTGAACATTTTTTGTTAGATATTATTCCACTTAATAAGCGTCATACTGCGCAAAACCTTATAGACCAATTTACACATCTTCTTAACGAATTCTCCTTTAATGATAAAATTATTGGATTGACAACAGATAATGAATCTGTAATGATCGCCTTAGGTAGAGAATTAGGTGAACATCTAATTCAAGAATTTCATAACAACAGATTTGTTCATTATCATTGTGCTGCATATGTAATCAGCTTAGCCATAAAGCAAGAGTTAGAATTAGTCAATGTATCAGTCAGTAAAGTACACAGTTTAATGTTAAAAATTAAAAACTTAATAGTGTTATGCGATGAACTTCGGTCCTTATATATTTTAAAAAATATTACTTATTTAGCTCCAGAAATCGATATCGAAACCAGATGGAACAGTATGTTTTATATGCTTACTAAGTTTAAAAAAATTCAAAATGTTTTAAGAATGTTAATTATCAACCATAGTGAGTTAGTCAAAAATTTTCCAAACTCAGAGGACTTAGACCATATTAATGATATGCTAATTCTACTTAATCTAATAGAAAAAGCAACGAAACTTCTGTCCGCTTCTTCATATCCTACAATGGGGTTAGTATGCAGAGTTTTCTTAGCAATTCAAAGACATCTTGACAATTATATTGGCAAAGACAGCTTTAAAGAATGTGAAATGGCAGCATCAATTTTTCAAAAAATCAAATCTTATTGGGAAATAATGAATAATCAGTGTATAATTTCAACTATTCTAGATCCAAGATATAAATTGTCAGATTTTGAAGGTGAAAAACAGGTTACTGCTATCAGTACAATTAAAAACGTTTTTCATATTTATCTTCAACTTAATCATAGTACTACCCCTACTATTTTTTTAACATTCTCTAAAATGCCTCAAAATCTATATGAATATTTTGCCCGCCTTAACAATCGCAATCATAACCATTTACTTAGTTCACAGAATAATGAATTAGATCGTTATTTGATATTAGCTGAAGATCTTGGAATTGAACCATTGACATGGTGGTCTTGTCATGCTAATGAATTTCCTATATTAAGTTTAATAGCAAAAGATTATTTAGTATTACAAGCCACCAGCATAAGCTGTGAACAAGCATTCAGCGTTGCTGGCAACACTTTTAGCAAAAGAAGAAATCGACTAAAACCTTCAACAGCACATGCAAGCCTATGTTTAAAAAGTTTGCTTGAGAAGTAAATAAGAACTTAATTTTTTTTTTAAATATAAATATATATATCTTTTTTTTTTAAAAAAAAAAAATTATGCTAAGAACTTTTTTTTTAAAAAAGAAAAAATTATTCTAAGAACTTTTTTTTAAAAAGAAAAAATTATGCTAAGAAATTTTTTAAAAAAAATTATGCTAAGAACTTAAAT